CACATTCTCACAATAAATTTTTTTTTTTATTTTTTAACAACACATTCTCCAAAAAATCACTATTTCAGAACTCATTTTACAAAAAAAAAAATAATAATAATAAATCAATGGTTGTCAATTAGTGGCTTAATTTTACAAAAAATATTTTATTACTTAAAGATAAGTTATTCAAATAAAATTAACGTCGAAAAGTTACATAAAAATTACTTTTTTTTGTAAATTTTAAATGTGCTGTAGATCACTAAGCAAATCAAGTAATTATGACTTCCAAAACACAAAAGTCTAGCTATTATGATATTTCTACAATATGGAAAAGTTCAATTTGATAATCTTACTGTCAAAAAAAGTGAAAAGAATTTAAAAGGCAGGAAGGATAGGAAAGATTTATAATATTCATGCAAATTCTATAGTCACATAAAGAAAATAGTAAAGAAACTATATCTATCAATCAATGGATTTGCTTTANTAAAGAAACTATATCTATCAATCAATGGATTTGCTTTAATCTTCTTTGCAATTACTTCACTAATTAATTTTCCCATAACCCCACAACAAATCTAATCTTGAGGAAAACAATAGTATTATGTTAATAAAACTGGCAATACAATGCATAATTAGATATAATCATTGTCCATTTCAACTTCACTTTCGACCGACTCAGTGTGTGATTGATATGCAATGTTGAAGACGACTAGATACTATAATCAATAAAATATTATGCTATTTTCTTTCTCAATAATGTTTTGTGTTACCAAATTCTCTTTACCAAAAGTTTTCAATTTTTATTTTTGAAAAAATAAAAAAGATAATGATAGTATATGGCATCAAGAAATAAATCCTACACATGTCCTCCAAAGAATTTAGAGAAGTGCTATGTGTACACAATAGTTTACACAATCTTTTACACCCCCCTCACATGGAGGGGGGTCCACATATAATAAAATATTTGTGGGCCCCCTTCATGTGATGAGGGGTGTAAAAGATTGTGTACACCACAATGTGTGCACATAGAATAATCCAAGAATTTATTATGGAATTGGAGCTGTGGACAATTTGAAGATTGTGTTTAGAAACATTTTCTCATTTTTCCTAGCTTCAAACTTGGTTGTATAAATTGCTTATCAACCCATCTGGAGTCCTTATTTTACATGTCTAGCCTACTTTAATTTTCATTTTATGTCCCACTCAATCAACATGTTACTTTCTCTATAGTCTTGTCACACAATTGTTTAGTTCAAAAAAGTTGTTCACTTTGCAGAGTCGTCATATACAACATATGGACAATGGTCACTTGTTGGCCAGTTTAATCTAAGTTCACTTCTTCTCGTCAACTGTCCACCTAAACAAGTCATAACACAATAATCACACATGCACGCAACCATCGTGCTTCTTATTCACAAGGAAAGAAGATGTTAAATTGACACAAACTCTAAACTTGTATATGTTTTGCTATTTTTCTGTATCTTCTTTGTCTTTGTACTTGCACAAAAACTCACTGATTAACTATAAAATCCATTTATTAAGTTTATTTCCTTTTAATAGTACACGCAAACTCATTTTTGACATAAATCGAAAAGAAATAGAAATTTTGCTTCAAATAGAGGCATTTAATTTTGGATAACGAGGAATTGAATAAAGAAAAATAGATTCTTTAACAAAAAAATTTCCCTTAAAGTTGAGGTTGTACCACTAGAAATTGTTAGATAGATAATAAGTAATAATTTAATGAAATCATCAAGACTCCTACTGCTGTCTTCCATTTTCGGTCCTTTGTCTGGCTCGTCCCAATAAATAAAAGGGAAAATTGCAGTAGTGGTACCTAACCTTTCACTTTTTTTGTAAACGTTATTTTAACATTCACTTTATGCCATTCACAGATTCAAACCTTTCAAAAATATACATATGGGGTCCAAATGGATGGAAACCGTCTATTCTACAGTTAGTTGACCTGGAAAATAAAAAAAAAAAAAAAAATTTGACCAATTTTTACCAAATTGAAAAGGGTAAAATTGTATATTTACATTTTCCAAATACTATTAACAATTAGAACAATTAAACTAAAAAAAAAAAGCCCAGCCCATCCCATCCCATCCCATCCCATCCCAGCCCAGCCATGTTCATCATCTTCTTCTTCTCCTTGTCGGTGACAACCACGACGTCACTCTCTTCTCTCTCCCCAGCCACTGCATCTCCTCCACTTACACTTGCCCACCTATATTTGCAGTTGCAAAAATCTAGAAATCCAATATGGAGTGATATTTTGCCAATTCTTTGCCAAATCCAGGTTTGCAGGAATCTGAAAATCAAATCTGGAGTGAAATCTAAGTTTTGTCAATTCTACAAACCTGATTTTTCTTTGAGACCCTTCAAAAAACTTCAATATTTGGTACCCATTTTGCCTGTGCAAATGAGGGGAGTGTAAGGATTTTAATCCAACATGTGGATTTATATGTGAAATATTCTGTACTAAATTAAATGCTATCAATTTTGGTTAAACCCGTTTAAAGTGATCTAATAAGATTTTGGTATTTTGGATTTTGAAGCATATAATTAAAGTATGAACATTTATGTGTAGAGACCAAGCATATTCATAATTTCACGGTGGGTCGAATTAGGTCAACAAACTGTTATATATATATATAAAGAACTACGTGTTGATTTGGAAGACTAAAATCACAGGATTCATTCATTCATACGTAATTATTCATTCTGTTCTGACTCCCATCATCAAATAAAAATAAAGAACTACGTGTTGATTTGGAAGACTAAAATCACAGGATTCATTCATTGTGATAACCATGTCTGATTCAGGTACGCTTTCGCTTTGGTTTATAAATTATTAATGGTCCAACATGAAAGATTATCGAGACGGTAATAGTTTTCCCAACAGGGTCTAGAGTAACTGCTGTGTTTGCAGTGAAGGATGTGAAACTCGTAAGTGTCGGGGAGAATCTAGGTTCTATTGGGTCTCCATCACTCATGGAAGCTCCAGAGCTGACTACGACGGAGGTGGTAGAGACTGCGAATAAGGGCATCTATGCGTATCTTCTTTTTGAGGTCGGGAGGGAACTTGCATTTGCAGTGGTGCTGGTAGGAAGGTGCATTAAGTAGTTCAATGGTGGTTTGTTTTGGGTGTGGGCAAAGGACATGGAGGCAAGAGGCAGATGTTGATATCATATTGGTGAAGATTTTTCCGCGACAATGCCATTTCTTTTGTGGGGGAGGGCCAAGGTTCGGATCCAAGTAAGAGGTTGGGTTGGTTTGTTTTTGTTTGGTGGGGTGGAGTTTTTGCTTTTGGTTATAGGTTTGACGGTGGTAGTTGTAGTGGTCGTGGAAGTTGGTTTTGGTTTGATGGAGACAATTGTGGCGATGTTGGTGGTGGTTGTAGTGACGGCGATGTTGGGTTGATTTCTAGCTTGGTTAAGTCGAGGGGGGTGGGAATAAGGTGTATTGCTGAAAGAGGTGAATAGTGATTTTCATTTTATTCCTTTATCTTTTCTTTTCATTAAAATGAGAAATGTGGAATTGACAAAAATGTCTATGCATAAAATGGTCAAAATATTCATTTTTTGCATTTTTCAGATCAACTAATGGTATAATAGACGGTTTCCATCCATTTGAAACCGAGTTGCATATTTTTGAAAGATTTGGGACTGTAGATGATACAAAATGAAGGCCAGGGTCAAGTATGCAAAAAAGTGAAAGATTAGGGATAGCTACTGCAATTTTCACTAAATAAAAACACACAATCAAAAGAACCCTAAGTACCTCCAGTTCACTTCACTCTCTTACACTCAACCGGCCCACAGAAATAATTTAGAGAAAAAAAGGCAAAAACTATTTTTTCACTTTTCTTAGTACCCATTAAGAGTACCTATACTATCAAGAAAATATTAGATGTAGTTAGCTGATCAGCTTCATTTCTTGATGATTTCTTGGGGGTGAAAAAGGAAAAAAAAAAAAAACTAGCAGTGTAGTGTTTAGTAAAAGGTGGGGTTTTGTCATTAGCATTTGGGTTCTTTTCTTGGATAAACGTGAGTAAATATATATGTATGCAGTACTATATATGTAATATGTGTATACTATTTGTTACTAATATGTAATTACCATTTTTTGAAGATTATTCACATGAAGCAAATGAAGTAAGAGAAAGAAAAGGAAAAGAAATCAGAGAAAGAGAAAGAGAAAGAGAATAAAGAAAAAAGAAAAAAGAAACAAACTTCAAGATCAGGTATTGAATCATCCACGGATTATTTTCCATAAAATAATGTTTTACACACACAGGTATTTGCAAATTTATACAGGGTGTGAATGTACAGAGTTTTTTTTAATGTTTTTATTTGGTTCATTCGAAGAAAAAATTTAGTTTTTGCTGCTGAAATTCCATAGTATTACATGAATTGGCCAAGGTTCTAGTGTGCTAGCTTTTGATATTTATTGATTTTTTTGTTAAATAAACAGGTTTGGAATTGTGGGGTGTGAGGAGTTGGGAGAGGATTGGCTAAAATGAGGAACATGGAGTTGAGCTGTATTATTGTAATGTTATTGGGTATTTTGGTTCTTGGGGAAGCAGAAATTTACATTGCCACAATTGAAGGTGAGCCGGTGGTAAGTTACAAAGGTGGTGTCGATGGTTTTCTAGCCACTGCTGTGGAGTCTGATTCTGATGAGAAAATTGATGTCACCAGGTATTTTTAATAATTATTTACCTGACTATATATTCATAAAATTGCTGTGAGTTTGTAGTAGATGCCTTTTCAAGCTCAAGTTGTCTTATGGTAATTCTGCACGCGCCTACACGATTTTACATTTTAGATCATTTTTTAAAATGGTCGATATCATTGTTCTGCGTTAGTCTAATTATTTTATTTGCATTAGTGGTTTGGTGGAACATGATTGTCAAAGAAAACCTCAGAGTATTAGAAAACGGGTTCTTCTGGTGGTGATTTCATCAACGTGTCTTTGTCTCGTTTACTTTTTACAGAAGATGTATCATAAGAAGTTGTTTGACCTTAGTTTTAATTTGATGTCAAGCAATGTTTATTTTGTTAACAATAGAATATTTCGAGACTATGTTATGAAGGAAAGAGATAAGTCCGACAACACAAGTTTGTGCAAATTCCATTAATTAATTTATTACGACAAAATATGTTTGGTAAAATTGCCTAAATTATTGTATGATATATCTCTCCATTTGATCTAGTGAAGATTCCTATCTCCTTTTGCTTTCAGTTTCTTGGTGAGTTTCTCTGTTATGATAAGTCCTGATTCATATTGATTGTTTTCGGTGGTCAGTGAAATTTGTTGGAATTTGGTTTAAAGATTGGAAAATTTAGTTAAGTATAAAACTTGAAAAGTGACTTTGCGTCAACTTCGGCCAAATATTTGGACTTGATTCGATAGTCAAATTATAAATATAAATAGACATACTTGTTCTACTCGTCGAGTGGATCGTCGTAATATATTTGGAATCTCAAAACCAATTCCGGATGAATGAGAAATGGTGGTCCAAAGTTAGAAAGAAAAGAGGAAAAATTGGCCGGGAAATTTGCCAAACTCCAACCCTCGCTTAGCGCTCAAGCGATGAGCTTGTCGCTTGGGCGATAGAATTTCTGACTGTCATTATCGCTCTCAAACGAGAGGCTAGCGACACCAATTGATGCTTTCTTTCATGAAGGTTGCTGAATTTGGGACACGACACTTCATTCACAACCTCTCATTTTCTGTAAATAGGACTATTTGGACGTCAATTATGCATCCCATATCGTTTGCATTGAACATTATATCAAAAACTCTTGTAAAAACTCTCCAAAAATCGTCTTCTTGTAGAGGGAAGAATTTCATTCAAGTTCACAATTGCTTGTGGTTTGAAATACTTCTACCACAAGTTGTATTCGTTATATTTTAGGAGACAAGTGTCAGAATTTGTTAGCACCGTTGCTAGACAATTTTGTTTTAAGGAAAAAGTGTTAATTAGTTACCTTGGATTTCATTATTCATCTTTTCTTCATTTTCTTTCTTTCTTTTTTGCTTCTATTTCATAAAGTTTAATTCGCAGATGCGAATTAAACTTAAACTATTTCTTTGTCACTTAAACGAACAACCATTTCTCTATACATATCACCAACAAAATTAACTAGACGCATCATTGTGAAATTTGCACCAAGTGTACCAGAAAACCACTGTACTATGCTTGTTGCATGCTGTGAGCAAAAGAGCTTCTGTCAAAAATAGTTTGTCTAGTAAACAGACAGCCTAGTCATATATTCCTGATTTTGCAACATAGTATAAATGTGTATACCATGAAAATTATGTAAGTGCAAGATTTGATTGTTTTGACATGGTTTTCCTTCTGCAAGAAAGAAATAGTTGAAGCCCTAAAATCTCCTTTATTTCTCCCCACATGATATCAAACTGGCAAATCTTTTGATTTCTTGATAGGCCTTGATATTTTATGTTTGCTCTATATGTACAAATATACAAATGCACATCTTTTCAAGTTTGTCTGGAAGGAAATAGAAGATGAATCATTCTATTCAAATGCAACTATAGAATTTTATGCAAAAACAACCTTATGGCATCGCTTTCTCGTCCTCTTAATATTGGGCTAATCCTTTCCAAATTATGTAAATTTGGAATTACTATTACAAATTATGTAAATATTGGGCTAATCCTTTCCAAATTATGTAAATTAGGTCATTTCAACTGCCTTTGGATTCCTGCTCGGATTTGTTTTCAGAGTAGAACCTATTAGTTGTCTCTACGAGTACATGTTACACACTACACATAGTCTTGCCTTGCTTTTTGGTGTTATTATTACTGCTTTAATGTGTCTCTTTTTATCTGACCTGAGGTTGATCAAGATCCATTTATCTGATTTTTTGTTCTCTCTTTTTTGCCTCTGCTACAGTGAATTGGTAACATCTTATGCCCACCATCTAGAGAAGAAACATGATATGCTTCTTGGACTGTTGTTTGAGCATGGGACCTACAAGAAGCTCTATAGCTACCGTCATCTTATCAATGGCTTTGCAGTTCACATTTCTCCTGAGCAGGTGATCTGCTATCTTTTTTATTGTCGTTAATGGAGCTGATTGACATTCAATACTCTGCTCGTATTACTTACACAATCAATATATTAGTAGGCAGAAATACTTAGACGAGCACCCGGTGTGAAATCTGTTGAGAGAGATTGGAAGGTGAGGAAACTGACAACCCACACACCCCAGTTTTTGGGGCTTCCAACTGGAGTATGGCCAACAGGAGGTGGCTTTGACAGAGCTGGAGAAGATATTGTGATAGGATTTGTGGATTCCGGTATTTATCCACATCATCCAAGCTTTTCGACTCACAATACTGAGCCCTATGGGCCTGTTCCAAAATACAGAGGAAAATGTGAAGTTGATCCAAACACCAAGAAGGACTACTGTAACGGGAAGATTATTGGAGCTCAACATTTCGCTGAAGCCGCTAAAATGGCTGGCGCGTTTAATGCCGAAATTGATTTTGATTCTCCCCTTGATGGTGATGGACATGGAAGGTTTGAGTTAATTGCTTTGATAATGGAATTTCATCAAATTATTGTGCTCCCTAATTCTTCTGTGCCCTGAACGCCATGTTTTGAGAAGGAAGCTGTGATGAGCAATATATTTGATGCTTGAATATTGGGCCTTTGTTGCACCAAGTTCTAAACATCACCATATATCTTCATACTCTGTGTACCTTTCCAATCCAACAGCCTGCAACCTACCCTTGGGTGTGCAGGTACAAAGTATGTTCTTGTGGAAGATATTTTAGAAACCCAAATTTGCATCTTGTGCAAGGCAACATATTTTTTCCTGCAGACAGGGTTTTGTCTCAGAGTCGTATCTTTTCCTACTGGGACATAAAGCAACTTCATGTTCTCTTATCTCTTATTTTTCCCCTAACCTGATCTGTACTGATCAATTTAATTGCTATCCTGGTGTCTTGATTTCAGTTATGAACTTACGTTTCATGGGGTACTTGCTTCATAGACAATACTTATCAAAAGAAATGACAAGAAAGAAAGGCTTTTCATAAACATTATATTGCAAGGAATTGATAAAAAAATGAAGACAGCTTTTCAGAACAAATATTTTTCTCTTGTAGTTTCTGTTCCAATTCAATCTTATTTATGTAATTGTTGTGATTACCTGGAACTTATCTCAACAATATTTTTACCAGCCACACAGCAGCTATTGCAGCTGGAAATAATGGAATTCCAGTGAAAATGCATGGATTTGAATTTGGAAGAGCAAGTGGAATGGCACCTCGTGCTAGGCAAGTTTTTTGACGGCACTCTCTTGCAAAGTTGTGACGCATATCTGTTACATCTTGTTTTCTCAATGACAGATATTCTTCCGACAGTTAAAATGTTCCTGTTTGTTCAGGATTGCTGTCTACAAGGCGCTCTACAGATTATTTGGTGGTTTTGTTGCAGATGTAGTTGCTGCCATTGATCAGGTATTTGGATATGTGAAAATGCTGACATGTAAATATTGGAGGAGATGAAGATGTTACCGTCCTAGCTGTTTTTCTGCTGAGATTACATATGGTTTCTGACTAACAAGGAGCTTACATGAATTATTTTTCCCTTCTAATTGAATACTTTCTTTTGCCCTGAAATTTTTTCCCTCGGTTGCTCTTTTGTTTTCTTATCTTTACCTTTTCCCGGGCGGTGGGGATGTGGTGTGGTGTGGAGCTTGTCTTGTGTGTTGTTGCTTTTGTCTTTGAAGACCCTGTTGAACCTTCACATGTCAAGTCTTGATAAGGTCGATTGAGGATCATTGGTTTATGAAACCTGGATTGCACAGAATAATAAATTGGCATGAATCTGAAGAATCTCTAGCAAGATCTTATTCACATTTTCATGAAATAGATTTATGAGATATACTACATGGTGATGTTGGAAAGCTTTTGGTATAGGAAGAGAGATGTGATGATATGTGAGAGAGAGAGAGAGAGCACAAAGGAAGAAAGAAAGTATTTTAGGATCTGCCGTGTTTAGAAAAAAATGTTATTTTCAATGTCTAAAATTGCTTCCAGATTGGACTATGAAAGTTTCTCCTTGTACCATTTTTTTTTTTAAAAAAAGAAAGAAATTATTTGAAGTGATCATGGTAAAATTTACGAGAAAAGTGCACAAATTTCAGTTTGCTAGCAAATTTGTTGTTTTCATTGTTTATTTGGAAACCCAAGAGAGTTGATAATATGTTATGATTGGTTTCAGGCATTTTATACTATTAAAAGTGGCTGTATCAGACTGAAAGATGCACATCATTATGTCTATTCATCATAACAACTCTCTCTTATTTGCTAGAGTTTCAGAATTGTGCAAAGAACTGAGGACTATAAAATTTACAGCACTAAGATGCTGAATAGAAGACCATCCTTGACATTGCAGCAATCCTAACAGACACAAGTATATGGTCTGATCTATATTACGGTGGCTGGATCATCTTAGAAGCCAAAAATGTCATTGACTCTTTAATCTAAAACTGAAAGCTTTACCCAGTCCTACAGTAGTAATAAATTGTAAAATAAACTTAAAGTTGGAGTGACATACAGATAACAACTATGTGTAACATTCTTAATTAAACAAGGTTCTGAATCCCACTCACAAGAGCAATAATCAGTTAAACAATTTGAAACCCACACAAGAAAACACAGATTTATGATGGTTTACACTCAATGTGAGGGTTGTGTCAACTTGTTGCTACAGCATACAAGGTTTCATTACGAAGATTAAGATTACGATGGTGATCTCACTCTACTCTGTCTGTGTTTCAGAAAATTCTCCTAAAAATTCCTTTAGATATGTAGGAATAGTAGATCGACATGATACCTGTATATAGCAAGGAGATAAGACTCAGAATGATTAGGCTTCACAGGGTCCAACATTAGCAACACATTCTGTCAGTTAAATAATGAAAGAGAAAACATGTACATAAATGTTTTCCACATCATATTAGTGATATTTATTTTGTGTATATATATATACTGGGTATCAGTGTTGTGAAACACGGTAGTAATTTTTTACAGGCTGTTCATGATGGCGTGGACATTCTGAATCTCTCAGTGGGGCCAAACAGTCCTCCAGCAACGACAAAGACAACATTTTTAAACCCTTTTGATGCTATGCTTCTTTCAGCAGTGAAAGCTGGAGTTTTTGTTGCACAGGCATCCGGAAATGGAGGTCCTTTTCCCAAAACCTTGTTGTCTTATAGTCCATGGATAGCATCTGTAGGTGCTGCAGTTGATGATCGAAGATACAAGAACCATCTGACCTTGGGAAATGGGAAAATCTTGGCTGGACTTGGTTTGTCACGTAAGTTTTATGCATTTCATCTCAAGCCATATAAATTCTTAACCCACCTTATGGACACTGCTTGCTCTGTCAAATTTCTTTAATATTGTTCTGTTTGAAGAATAAACATTAGTATTGAAGTTAGAAATGTTTCACTCATTGTTTGGTTTAAATATATTCTCATTATAATTTATAGGCAAAGTCTAATTGTAGTTTAAACACACATTTTGTAGAACCACAACTACTATCCATATATCCACCGCTCATTTCTATCAACTTATGATTTCAGCAACTCATAGTTTCTCCAAACAAACATTTAGTTCTTTTATATTCTTAAAGCAATCATGAATGATGTTTCTTAAAATCTTACCCCACTCATTTCTACCAACTTATGATTTCAGCGACTTATTAATTAACGATGTGAGATGGGCACCAAACATACATGGTCAGAGATTTTCTAATTATGTTTGGAATTAATCACAGACAAGTTTCATTAGGAGTCTCATGCTGTAATCATTTATTTTCTCTATTGATTTTATTTCTTAACTGTACTAATTTCCTCCCAATTTGTTTAGTAGAATTCACTCAGTTTCACTTAATACAGTCTCTGCTTTTCTTAAGCTCGTGTGTTATTCTACCCTTCCTGCAGCTGCCACGCATCAAAATAGATCATTTACCTTGGTAGCAGCTAATGATGTGCTGCTGGATTCCTCGGTTGCAAGGTATAGTCCTTCTGACTGCCAGAAGCCAGAAGTTTTGAACAAGAACTTGGTGGAGGGGAACATTCTTCTCTGTGGCTATTCCTTTAATTTCGTCATTGGTACTGCTTCAATAAAAAAAGTCTCACAAACTGCTAAGAGTCTTGGCGCAATTGGTTTCGTTCTAGCAGTGGAAAATGCTTCTCCAGGAACAAAATTTGATCCTGTTCCTGTTGGTACTCCTGGAATCCTCATCACAGATGTTAGCAAGTCCATGGTAAATATTATGCTTCTCTTTGTTACATAGAGCATATTTAGCTAAGTTTCAACGGTTTACTAATAAGTGAATTAGTAACTTTTAAACTATGGGAAGAAGGGATAGTTAGTTTCTTTTCCTGGTTTTTGTCTTGTCTCAGCTGCAAGTCGTTGGTTTCCGCTACATTTGCATTTTTTAGTGTATATTTTACTTTAATAAGTTTGTTCCTACAGTTCCCGTCTTCAATTTTCTTGTTCTTTTGCTCGGTAATGATATTCGTAGGAACTTATAGACTACTACAACATCTCTACACCAAGAGATTGGACTGGGCGAGTGAAGAGCTTCAAGGCAGTGGGAAGCATCGGGGACGGTCTGAAGCCTATACTCCATAAGTCTGCTCCACAAGTAGCTCTGTTCTCTGCTCGAGGACCCAATATCAAAGACTACAGCTTTCAAGATGCAGATCTCCTCAAACCAGATATATTGGCTCCTGGTTCTCTAATTTGGGCTGCCTGGGCTCCAAACGGAACAGATGAGGCAAACTACGTTGGTAAAAATATTCATTATACCAATTTACTCACCTTATTTTTTTGAGGAAGCATCGGTCAACCTATAGGGTGTGTAGCAGCTTGATCCTCACCTTTTGGTCTTCTACGTTTCAATGTAGTTGCAGTTGTAGTCCTTGTGGATTGTCTCCAACCAATTTTTCTACGAAAATGGCATGTGCAAAGCACGTGAGGCACTCTTGTGAGGGAAAAATAGGTAGAAAATGATTAAATTTATTAATAGATAATTAAATAAGGAAATAGAAAGAAAAGGAAAAGGAAAGGAGAAAAAAAATTCTGTCATCCCCTCCAAACAGATATTGCCCTATTACTATTTTAACATAAGATTATATGTACACTTCCACAAGAACGAATGGCTGCAATAAATTGATTGAGTGCCAAAAAGCTTCATTACGAAGATTGGGGATCAAGTTCCTAGGAGAGCTATAGGATGGAGACTAACAATTTTCTCATCCTATGCGAGTCTGAATATCACATTGCTTGGAGCAGGTGAAGGATTTGCTATGATATCTGGAACCAGCATGGCTGCGCCACATATAGCCGGAATAGCTGCTCTCGTGAAGCAGAAGCACCCTCACTGGAGTCCTGCAGCTATCAAGTCTGCCTTGATGACTACATCAACTACCCTTGACAGGGCAGAGAGACCACTTCAAGCTCAACAATATTCTGGATCAGATACTCTGGCTCTGGTCCCTGCAACACCTTTCGACTATGGGAGTGGCCATGTCAATCCTAGAGCCGCTCTAGATCCGGGACTTGTTTTTGATGCAGGTAATTTAATCTACTTTCTTGTTCCGTGATATAATCTAATTTAATCTTAGTGCTGGCTAACCACTGTATTGTAATGGAAATAAAATATTTACTTGTTAGGGATTGAGCCCTAATTCCAACCTTGATATCAATGAGACCAAGAAGAAATCATAAAAATGCAAAGTGAACTCACATGTTCAGAGAGCCAAGTCCACTTGCCGATGCAAGTTTCAACTGAAATCGAAATTTATTTTAAAACAGAGATCACACACTACTCTCTCATTTCTCTCTCACAAAGGAAAAAATTCTCCTTAGATACCCTAATATGGAAAGGAAACTTGGGCGACCTAAGACGAAGAGATGAACAATACAATTATGCTCCATATAGTCCAACATTATTTGGGTTAGTTTCTTGTGCAGTCAACATGTTGGACATGTGTTAACTATACAGTCTGGCCCTGGGACTGCTGTATTCTCTATCCATGAGATTCAATGCACTTCAGTTTTGCACTGAATGTCTTCCGAGATACTGTACCAAACCATCATATTCAGGTTGGACTTTGTGGAGTCTAATTATAGTGTACAACAGTATAAAGGATTTATTGGGACCTGTTTTGAGTGTGAGATGCATTAGAAAACCTAGTAATTTTTTCTCTATCATATTAGGCAAGTGGACGTAGCTCTCACTTTAAAGGTTAACGAGTAAAAATCCATGTGTTTCCTTTGCTTGTTTTTGGGCTTCCATTATGTTTACTCTTGCAGTTGTAAGAAGGCACGAGGGCTTAATACTTGACAACTCCTATTTGATTAGATCCTATAAGCTGGATATTCTCGGACAACATCAATATACTTTAATTTTTTCATAGGGTTTGTTGTACTTAACCTATCAATGCTTCTTTGGTTTTCACCCTTACCTTTATGGTTTTCCTAAAATGGAACCTTCCCCTCCACTGTCAAATATTTTTACAGTAGTGCTCATCAATTGGAAAGATGGTTTCTTTCTCATATGTTTATCTCATGTTCAGGTAACTTTTAACTTTGTAGGATACGAAGACTACTTGGGGTTCTTGTGCACCACACCCGGAATTGATGCTCACGAGATAAGGAACCATACGAATTCCCCGTGTAATTATACTCTAGGCCATCCGTCAAATCTCAACACCCCCTCAATCGCTATTTCGCATCTCGTAGGAACTAAAACAGTCACACGCACTGTGACAAATGTTGCCCAGGAAGAAACCTATGTGATCACTGCAAGAATGGCACCTGCAGTTGCCATTGAACCCAGCCCTCCAGCAATGCCTCTACGGCCCCATGCATCGCGGAAATTCTCCGTGACGCTCACTGTTCGGTCAGTCACTGGATCCTACAGTTTTGTCAGTTGCCATTGAAACCAGCCCTCCAGCAATGACTCTACGGCCCCATGCATCGCGGAAATTCTCCGTGACGCTCACTGTTCGGTCAGTCACTGGATCCTACAGTTTTGGGGAGGTTTTGTTGAAAGGCAGTAGAGGACACAAGGTAAGGATTCCTGTTGTAGCCATGGGTTATAAGCGATAGGCAGGTCACAAGTTAATGGCATGTTTGTACTGAACAATCCAATTCATCTTACCAAACATGTCATTGTGTCACTGTTATGGGATTCTTTTTGGTCTCCGAAAAATAAGATTGCATAAAGGTCAGATGTATTTCAATGAGCAAATATGTAAGAAAAGATGTAAAGATAAATAGCACGAGGTCCACATGTCTCGTTTCCTCCAATCCAGTTAGTTGTGCTTATTTGTTCAGTGATATGGTGAGAATGCTTTGATTCCCCACTACGTTGGAAGTAGCTTGGGTTAACTTTTAAGGAGATTGATAGAGTTCGATATCCTTCTCTACTGTATTTTTGACTGCTCTTGTAATAACTATTTATAGTTAGCTGAAGTATCATATTTTTTGCATTTGCAATATTCTGGGATTGTGTTAAATATCAATTTACTTTCCTTCTTGCAACATGAACAATAAATATTGGGATTAAATCTTATGTAGCTTAAAGTTTGAAAATAATAATTAATAATATACAAGGATTTGAACTACTCTTGTTATGATTAGCCTTTTAAGATAAATTTTCAATACTCAAATAGTATGATAACTTGAAGGAAAAGGAGAAGGTAAATTAAGTGCTATGCTTCTCAATCTTTCACGAAGAACATAGTTTGATAGTGCACGATATGCAAGCATAGACTAGACAGGACGTGCTATCTTTCATGTCGAGAGTGCACGATGCACAACATTGTTTGAAATTGTCAAAAATAAGAAAGAACAAGAGATATTTTACTGTAAAATTTTCAATATATACTCTGATTTTGGGAATTCTACTTGAAAGAAGAAACATTGGGAAATCATAAACTATATTAAACAGAAGTGTCCCTGCTGGGGCCATACTTGTAACGTGCAGACTCTCTGTAATAGACTACAAAACTAGTGGAAAGGAAGTGTCAATATAGATTCGTTTGCCAATAAAAACAAAAAATAAAAAACTTAACTGCAACATCAACGCAACATTTTTGCTCATTAAATTGATTAGATTGCGAGGTCACAAATTTGCAGTTCCAACAAAGATGGACTTGATGTTACAGATGCAGATAAGTTGATGAAATAACTTGCTTGTCCAATAATATAGTTGAGTATATAATTCTCAGAGGTTTTAACAAAAACTTGACTATGTCTCCTCAAAAAGTGTAGAATCTGCGGGAAATGTGCCTAAATAACTCCTGGGATAAGGTGGGACGTTGCACTTAAGAAAAACATAAAAGGCTCCAAATGCAATTAATTAAAAGTTCAGAGAAAGCTTAGCAGTACTGTAATATTTCTCATCAGCTCATAAGAAACATCCTGCTTGCGATATGATTTTGGATGCCACTTCCCTTCAGACCAATTAAACCTACCCTTTCCCTCCCTCACCTCACCCCTAAAGATATGTTAACCAATTAAATTTAGTCTATTTAAATTATCTTCCTTTTGTAATTAAGGCTATCCTATTTGTCATGTTATGTGCCTTTTTCCATGAATTACATCTATCAATGATATAGATAATGAATATTTTGGAAATCCTAAGAGAAAAAACAATTTTGTGGATCCCTTGACATTATTCCCAAAGCTCATTTGTTGCACTACAATTCCAATTTAAATGCTCATTTGTTGCACTACAATGGTTTTTGCTTAGATGCGTGCACATAGACAGAGAATCTTCCTTCATGTCCCTGCCAAAATAAATGGGAACAATGTGTAAAAAATTTCAGTAAATTGAATAGTAGAAATTCATATACCATCCGACCGTGAGTAGGAATACAAAAGACATTTATGTAATATGTAATATCAAAACTATAGGGACAATAATAATGACCGTAAACGTCTGGGAGCTGCATTTTCAAGAATGTGTGTTGCACCTTAGCCCCTGTTTGACGCACATTCTTTAAAAATACATTTTTTAAAAACTCATTTTCAAACACACATTTTTCAATAAAATAATATTTTCCGTCACATCAATAACTTTTCCTTACTTTTTAACTACATATTTCTTATCATATCACTATTTAAAATATATTATTTCATCAATAATATTCATCAACGCACTCTTAATTTGTTAAAAAATGTGCCGTTTCTGCTTCCTTAGCCTTTTACAAAAATATCATCCTTCCAGTTCATTGGGTTACTTTTAGTGGTAACATCAAAATTTCAGAGCCTTATGTCGACTCATGGAATTAGTGCTAATCCCCAACAATTGTTGCTAGTGTAGTAAGAGTACCGTCTTAATGTAGTACTTATCAAGAAACATGTAGCATCTGACAAATCTTGTTTGCAATCTCATGCTACAAGCTTCCCAAGGACAAAACTCAAAGACACTTGAGCCAGTGAATTAAAAAGAAAAGGTACATTGTTCAACATGTCAAATTGGTACATTGTTAAACATGTCAAATTTAGGGGGGGAAAAAAAAAAGGAGCCCTTCCTTAATTTTGCTCCATGTATATGCATGGTGACATTTTCCTTTGGCCATAATATAACATAAGCAACTGCTATGTCTCAATTACCAATCCTTGGCTTTAACAACTAAAATGGGTAGCAAACTTGGAGACTCCTCTGAGGATAGCAGAGGGCTCAGATAAGAACACCAAAATGGTTGGCTAAGAAACCAACTCAAGAATAAAATAACCATCATCAGGACCTTTCCTCTTTTTTTTTTTTTTATTATGAGACAACCAGGTGCAGTTAATACAATCATCTAGGAAGACAAACTGCAAATGAAAACTTTAAATTTGCAAAGCAATGTATGTTCTTATTCTAGTTAAATCTATATTCCATGTTCTTTCTAGCCATCAATGTGGTTTGTCATATAGTCCAGTCAAAATGTTACTCTCTCAATTAGAGGTAACTACTATAATTTTCCATCAACATCGTTTCTGTTATCCCCCAGTTTCGAGGTCTAAAAAAGTTGGGCCACGTGGCAGTACGGTCAACAAGGAGTCAAGAGAAGGGCCAATAGGTCAGAAGTCCAAGTGAGAATATGAGCCGAAGTCCTTAACCCAGCAACAGATGCTCTCACCTTAACAAGCCTCGGACTGAGGCACTTCCTCAAAGACGAGGCACAACCCAATTCGAGGTTCTCTTAGGTTCGTCTGAAACTCATAAATTCGACGCTGCCTCACACCAGATCCGAAGATCTTTTCGAATTGATTGACGTGACGTCTGCGGTAAAGCGTCTGTAAATTTAATCATTGTCTGCCTATCACTAGAACGGCTGACCTTTAGTCAAAACATTAAATGTAATGAGTGGACAGTGATGTGAAACTTCGGCTTAGGAGATGTCGCCACGTGAACTTGATCCAACGATCATCACGTCGGCTAGAATAGTAAAAATAACCACTCTCTGTATAGAAAAGGGGGATGGATGCAAAGAATATACAAAGATATACTCATACAAACATTTGAGATTTTATTGAAATAAAGGGAACTCATCTACTCATCATATCTATCATTCCACATATTTCATTGTCATTTTGTTGAATAGGAGATCATTGATAGCGTGATATTCCTGAAATATATCGCCTGAACCTTAACATTTTTGTCTCTCACCGGAAAGTGCCTCCCACATTCACTGCAACCAGATTACCAGTCTCATTCCGGTAAAAACGTGTTGGATCCGTACTTGATGTGGCGAGAGTGGGCCATGTATCTGTTGAGTTCATTTTTTGAGGTCAACAGTTTCTATTGTCGGTATGGATACATCAAGATGAAAATTTAAGGTTAAAATATTTCAGAAATCTTTGAACTTTCATCTACTTCGTAGATACATTTAAAAGAGCACTTATACATTGTCAGATAATGAAAAGCATATTGTCTATTTGCATACAAGCAATCAACAGAAACTCTAGAATCAATACATTGCACACCTGGGTGTTCAGTTGATGTGATTTTGCCAACTTGTGCAAACCATAAACACCCCACCCACCAAAACAACAAAAATTAATAAATAGCTACCAAAAAGGAAAGTCACATGCACCTCAAGATGACCAAGTACGGTGTGGCTAAGTACTTGCTTCATAGAAATACAACAGAAGGCATCAACTAGCTTGGAATGTAAGAAAAGAATTGCCACAAGGCCCATAACAAATTGCTTCGTCTAACAAGACCGCAAAATTTGACTACAAACACCATCATGAAGTTGAAAATAAGAATGGTTACAACGTACAACTACTTAAAATGGGTGAATGAGCAAATACGCAACTGAAATTTCAATTAGAAACTCTCTTTGGAGAGATGTCCCCTTGCAAAGTTTTTGTTCTAAGAAAAGTAGGAAATTCACTAGCTTGTTTAAAAAGTTTAACTTCAAACAAACAAACGGCGCACAAATGCAAGATTGGATGCTCTTGCGAATAAGTCATTGCGTACATCCAGATTTCGTTTTAATAGTTATCCTTTCAATTTTCTTTCTACACAGAAACACAAATTAGGAAACTTATGGTGAGCCTAGTCCTGGTCCCTGGTCCTGCCCAAACTCAAGGAAAACGTTATGCTGCCTTCAGAATTCCAAATTAGACCTAATATCATTGGTATGGATCGCTCTTGCCCAATAACAACATTGATACATGCATAAAGTTTCCATCAGAAATTATATTTATTGACTCAAAAACTCCCATCTTGCACAGAAAATTTGATTTCGTACATTTACGAAAGAAGTGAATGATAGAAAAAAAATAATTAGCTAGAAAATGTAAACAGAAGAATCTAAATAACATTAGAGGTTTCAGCACTTAAAAAGAAAAATGCTACCTGAACATAGCACGCTGTGGAATTCTGGGAAGGATAAACATAAAGCATAAATTAAGAACAAGATGACTAAAGAAACGAGTATGATAATCCATGTTGGCTTCTTTAAGTGACTGCGGTGGCGAGACACGGGCAATATTTGCATGTCCTTCATGCCTAGACGACACATCTGAGCCATTTTCATTTAGAAATGATGCATCACGGATTAATCTCCAAAAGAACTTTATCTTTTCCAAAGTTCACGTCAAGACCAAATGCACTTTAATATGATTAACATATCAGCCAAAGATAGATCATCATATCATTGCATTCAGTGAGAATCTGAACCTGCAACGCAAACAATTGTGTATATGTGACAAACCACCAAATTGCAAAAATATCGGACTCTTAAATTTGCCCGATTTGCAGGTGAAAATAATATTTGAAGCAAATCTATGTCACTAATCAACATAAAAAAAATGCAATTCCATTTAACTTCATATCTAGGATTCCATTTACTCCCTCCGTGCTGCGGAACAGAGGGAGCAATCCTCCGCGCCACACGGAGGAATTCTCTGCGTTTCCTCCGTGTCCCACAGAAGATTTCTCCGCACGGATGCCTATGATTACAAAGAAGAGCAAGAAGAGGGAATTTCTACGCCGGTTTTGTTTTCATATATATTTTATGGGTACGAGCTTTTACAG